GAAAAGTACTTTAGCGTTCAAACTCATTAGTCCAAGGCAATATCAAAAAGTACCTAATAACTACGGCGATAGAGTTTAATTACATGTGCTTCGATATTAAAATTAAAAAGTTTAAATATCAAAAAAATTAAGTTGCTTGGGATTTGAACCACCGAACTTACGTACCAACGGCGGCGAACGGTAAGGCCACGAGACCAAACTAGCATATATGATGACAAACTTAAATTTGATGTTGGTTTTATCTATGTAATATCTGTCATCCGCGTCGAACACTTTTAGTAAATTTTGAAAAATGGTTTGATGCAAAGTGTCAAATGAATGTAACAGAAGTAGTTTATTCCAAATTGTATCACAAGTATATAGAGATAGAGTTCAATTTTGTCAAATGTACCGATATTTTTGAGCACCTTGACTGCTTCGTTACTTATGACGCTGTGGATGCTACGATATTTATGAGCATCTTGCATGTACTCATATATTTGAAGCTGTGTATGTACCGATGTTTTTGAGCAGGGTGAATGTATCTATTATTTTGAGGACTTTTGTTGTACCGATATAATTGATTACTTTTGATGTACCTATATATTTGCATATCTTGTCTGTGACGATCTATATGACGCTGACTGTACATATATTTATGTACTTCGGGCTCTAGCTGCGTATTTTACAAGGCGTTGTCATGTAAGTTTAATATTAAGATTGCTAGTCGGGTCGTGAGCAATCATTTAATTTTGTTAGACATTCATACGAGTCGTACATGCAAGACCCTTCGTACCCAACCAAAATAAATCGTCGAAACCCAATAATTAAACCCTTAAGACTTACTTTTAAGAAAACTTTTTAAAATTATTATAAATGATAGGATTTACTCGCCGCACTCCGCAGCCTGAACCAATCCAAACTCTTAATGCCTTAATCCATTGAACAAATTAAATCTCGTTGCAATCCCGACTGCAAGATGGATCACAATCAAGATGGATAAGACTTTCTTACTTGAACGTAAATTAAAATGCGCATTGCATTGGAATTGCTATTTATAACCTTTTCCAAGCCTAATCTCAGGTCGACACACCAAGGTGATTAGACAAAATGCATTCGCTCCAACGCGATTCCATAGCGAACTTCAAAAAGGTATGGAACTGACAATAACTTTAGATTAGCCACGTGATTATCAGGCGTCAGCTCCATACATTTTTGAAGTTCGCTATGGAATCGGATTTTGATGAAATTTGGCATAAATATAGAACATAGTCTGGAAGAACACATAGACAATTGTCTTTTTTAATTCCGCGCGGTCGGAGTCGCCGGCGACCGGTATTAAAAATAATAAAACACTAGACAAATCAACCAAGATTTTTAATCAACTCCTTGAGATATCTGATATCTTTCTTATCGTGAATTTCTTCCTCTTCGTTGTCTATTGGGGCGGAAGTTCTCGACACAACTCTGCGGCCCGGTAGCTCCATTATAAATGATCTGATCTGTATAATAACATTTTACTAATATTATAAATGCCGAGTTTAAATGGATGGATGTTTATTAATAGGTATCTCCAGAACAGCTGCATGAATCTCGTTAAAATTTAACACACATATACAACATAGTCTGGAACAACACATAGGTTAATTATGTTAAGACGGAGTCACGAGCGATAGCTAGTCAAATATAAATAAGCAAACGTTCAACGGTGTTTACTTCCCTTTAGCATAATCATCTCAGGCAATTAAGGCCCTTCGTACACAATGCAACGTAAATTTTCAAAACCCGGCGATTTAGGTTTATTACGTACGTTATTGTTATTTAAAAAAAAAGAGGTGTTTAGTCAAAAAAAAACATAGTGGCATCCTATGTTTAATTCGGTTTGCAATTATCTAAACTTTTGTAAGCACAACGTAAAGGGTAAAATTTATTTTAGGAAACAATGTATTTCAATATAGGGTTTTCAAAACTACGTTTATTCTAATGTAAATTGTAACATACCTTTTGGTTGACAGCCCTGAAGTTCTGCAATAGCTTCAGGGACGATCTCTTTTCAGTCGGGTGAGATATTTGATAAAGACGAACTGCTCGATGAAACTGCGTGATATAAAAATATATTTCAAGTATATTCCTAATACTACTCTCCAAAAATGTATACAGGATGTATACAACATACAGTGCGATGTATTTTAAATTATTAAGAGGAGGAAATCGAGCAGTGGATTGTGTAATATAAATTGCATCGATGCATTGCTGATCTTGGAACTGGAACACCCCTAAGTTGTAACTGTTGGGAAATACTGCTGAGGATACATTATTATATTATATACGGTATTTTTACGCGGCTGTGCGATGCATTTTAAGTGATGGATCTAAGTCTTTGTGGAGATTTAAAACACCAATATCTATTGTTGAAATCCAATATATGTTCGGATATTTTAATAGATTTAAAATCAATTTATTCGTTTGTCAGAAAATTCAGAAAACCCGATTTTAGATATTGATCAAGGTGTCGAACAACACAAAGCTTTTGATCCATTTCCTAAGAAACACTCTGTATTTTTACAAAAACATATCTACCAACACCAACATGTCGGTGGCTCAGTGGTCAAGCACTTGACTTGCAATCTGCAGATCCTGGGTTCGAATCCCGCCATGTACATACTAATGTGTTTATCGATTTCCGATTTACATATGTACATTTAACCAACCTTCTTACGGTGAAGGAAAACATCGTGATGCAACCTGCACATATTTGAGAATTCAAAGAAATGTATGAAGTCAACCAACCTGCACTTGGCCAGCGTGGTTAACTATAGCCTAATCACCCCTAACTCAGAGTAGGCTCCGAGCACCTCAGTGGGGACGTATAATGAGCTGATGATGATCTATCAAGTGAATCTTTCTCAGTCATATGCGACCGCACGACATTTACTGTTGGTCTCCGCGCCAAGACGTGTTATTAAATTTCTAAACAACTTACTCTTTCCAACAAACACCATGTATCCCTGTACTGCTGCAAGAAGACCAATGGCGTGAGTATAGAGGCGTAGAGTGCTGCCTCTCTATCCAATAGATCTTCTCCCTCTGACATGCCGTGGATAGTCGCACGATACTTGTGTAAAAACGCCGTATTGGCGTGGTCTTTATCGAAACTATTAATAAAATAACATTATTTTTTTATATCATAAGGTGGCAAACGAGCGAGCTACCTGAAATCGCTGAAATAGCGAAGCGACCTAACCCATAGACGTACGCAATTGCATAAGCATTGCCTATCTTTAATCGACGGCGAAGGGGATGTACAGAAAGACAATCTTTCCCTTCCCAAGCACGCCCTCCACTTCCACTTCCCATCCTTTACTTATGAGAAAAAGGATGGAGAGGGCAAGAAGACTAAAATTAGGCCCCCGGTACCATACTTATCAGACGGAACGCGGAATTGCTTCCACTTCACGCCTGTCTTCTATGAGGTCTTGGTATTGCACCAGGCGAACCGACCAATTCTTGCGAACATGTTAAAGCGGGATCTACCACTGTTAAAATAGAGTTATATTCATGAAAGAGGGCAACATTATTAATAAGACGTTCTTGGCAAACTTCTCGGTGTTTCGGTATTAGTTGAAAGGGTTAATGCTACAGTGAAGAATTCAAAGTAATTTTACACGTTTATTCAACAATACTTACTACGGCATTATTGCATAAACACGCCTCACTATATCCCTTGGGGTGGACTTGACTCGACTACATGTGTCCGCCATGTCATCCTGTCTCTTAACCAGCCTGTTTTGACGTCTGGTGGTTGTTGGTTCGGTGACTTCAGTATTCACTAGCCACACCCCAAACACATTTGACGTCTACGATAAACGAGAACGAAAGTATATCATCCTTACTTTAATTCGGGAATCAAATTCCTATTATATATTTTTACTGTTAGATAATCTTACGACATTGTTAAGAACCTCGTTTTAGTTCCATAATAAATTCATTAAAATGAAATGCTCTTTTACGATTATTTTAAAGTTTAAACAAATTGTTTACTTACCAATAGAACTAAGCACAACAATAAAACACGCGATCGTATCCCCATCGCAGAAATATTATATTACTCATGATACTAACATTATAATTTTAACATTTAACCTAACACCAAATATATAAAAACTTATAAAATTACAAAAACGACATGTTAAATATTTTTGATTGACGTTAGTATGTCAATTTGACATCTTATAATCAAAAGGTTAAAAAAATATGACATTAACTTTGTCGAAAAAAAATTTATTATCTGTTCTAAAAGTTTATAAAAAAATAATTTTCCCCATTTTTTCTTTTTAGTGGTAAATCGACTTCCTTAGACATCCACAATTGCTGATGCATTGACAAAGAATGAAACGCAAAGAAAGAGAATATTTTCCCTTACTATGCGTCCCCTCTTACATCAAATTCACTTCCCTTTCCCATCCTTTTCTTACAAGAAAAAGAGAAGAGTACTAAAATAAGCATCCGGATCGTAAAACAAATAAATTAAACACCAATTTTTTTTTATTAAAAACACTGCAAAAATATCACAATAAAGCGTAAACCACAGTTAAAAGTGGTGTTAATCCATTTATAGCAACTGAGTTACTCTTAGTTTCCCCTTCAGTTTCATCCTGAGCAAATCCAGCTTCATGTTGGGCCTGATCTAACACTGGTGAACTGGGGTACTCCGGTTCCAGACTGGGAAGTTCAGGCTGGTCTTGATCTTCTGATTGCTCCTGAAAATGTATAAGACATTAAAAGAGACAATAAAATATTTTATGGTGAATAAAAAGAAAACAAAAGTAAAAAGTTTCGTGATATTATAGAATTTTAATGTAAATTTAAAAAAATTAGGTGTCACAGTTCGAATAAAATGGATATCTTAAAACAGAAAGTATAATATAAAAACTCATGGAATTAAAATTTTCTCTTATCCGAACCTAACCTCAAAACCTAACTTATCGCATAGGGTAAAAAATTGCAGCTTTTAATAATAATATTTCAAATGTGTCCTTACCATATCTTCGCCGCTGGATCGAGGCAGTTTAGCCAAACTATCACCTTTCTCATTAGCCGGCAATTCCTTGGGCTGTAAGGAATACATTGATTGATTGACCTTCTTTTTATAAAATTATCTGTTGTTTAGTTAACGAAATTATTTATAACAATGCCTTGTTCTATTCTTTCTCGAAGAAAATCTTATCCATTAAAGTTTGCTTTGTATGAAAAAATGTTGTCATGAGACAAAAACCATGTCTATCACATCTGGATAAACAAACATTCCCATCCACAATTCATTTGTGAACCTCCATGCGATAAGTTAAGTGTTTGAATGGGAGAATCATTTTTTTTGTGATTGAATTGCCACTGTTTGCCATGAGGAGGCGTTCACAGCTTTACCGGGCTTGAGATGGCCGACCGCAGATGGCACTTAGCCTAAACCTCGTTTAAGAGTAACTAAGCTCGAGGGCTCCCTTTTTTTATATCGTAAGGTGGCAAACGAGCGAGTGGCCACCTGAAATCGCTGAAATAGTGAAGTGACCGTTGCCCATAGACATACGCAATTGCATATGCGTTGCCTACCTTTAATCGACGGAGGAGAGGATGCACAGACACAAAATATTTTCTCTCATGCATCCTCTCATCCAGAAAGTCCACTTCCACTTCCCATCCTTTCCTTATAAGAAAAAAAGTAGGTAGAGAAAAAGGACTAAATTAGGCCTCCGGGACGCACTCATCAGACTGCACGCGGAATTGCTTCTACTTGAGGCGTGTCTTCTCTGTGAACGTGGTATTTCACCAAGCGAGCCGGGACAATTCGTGCAAAGATGTTAAAACGGGCTCTGCCACTGTTAAAACCCTCAGGAACCTCGGCTCGGACCGTTACTTCGTTATGGGAGTATCATTAAAAACATTTAAATTTATACCAAAATCTCGTTGGTCAGATATTGTCATATACTTGAAAAGAAAAAAGCAAAATGGTAGATAAAAACAAACTATTCTTTGACTTAAATAAAAAAAAAATATTCACCGTAGTATCAAAATCATTAACTGGTGTAATTTCTTCAGTTTGCTTCTGAAACATATTGAGCGGTGTCACATTTTGTATAAATTCTTCCATAATAAACCTCGCCCGTGCTATCACAGGCTCTAGTACACGCAAATGTTTCGCGATGTCCGTCGGTTTGGTAGACATCAAATATTTATTAACCTGAAAAAAGTTTAATATCAAAGTGCTAGAAATTTCCAAATTAAAGCTACTTATAGAGCTTTTTATTACTTTTTTAATAAAATTTATGCACGGTTCTCCGATAATAAAGCCACTTTAATTTTTGAGGTTATGTTGTTAGGAGACATATTTTTATCCAGAAAGTGTCATGATATCAAGCTATCAAGATTACGAAGCACCCATTCCCTTATTTTCTTTCATTTACATGTTTCTACGTTAACTGCTTTCTTTTTCCTACTTACAAAACCCTTATTTATCTACGCCTATTTCCTAAATAACAAACAACACTAACTTCGAAGTTTTACTGAAGATTAACTAAGAAAATGGCTTACTTTTAAAAGAGGGCACCATCCATTATTCCTAGTCGTGCTGGTATCAGTTACCAACATCCACACAATGGCCAGGATCCTCGGGAAGGTGATGTGGGGCTCCCCCATCATCATCATAGGCGTCTTCACCAAAGATTCAAGGTCAGGCTCCGAGTCCAACATTGCCGTTTCTACTAGTAGCTTTGTGCGTACAAGCACGTGGATTAATTCTGGTACTAATACACCATCGTCTCCTTCTAGATTCCTAAAAGAAATCCATACTTATATTAGTTCATGATGATGAATTTTTGAGATTCATCAGCATCACTTCACTATACGTCCCCACTGAAGGGCTCGAAGCCGACCCTAAGTTAGAGGTGACTAGGCCATAGTCAACCACGCTGACCCAGTGCGGGTTGACTTCACAGATATCTATCAATCTCTTCGCAGATATGTGCAGGTGGTATCACGATGTTTTCCTTAAGCGTAGGAACGTCGGCTTATTTCCTAACCTTACCTCTATGTCTACTTCACTTGTTTGCTTAAAAAGGTCGGTAACACTGTAATCCTTTTCATTGGAATAAACTCTCGATTGCCTCCTAATGAAAAGACCTAATTTTTCCTTTCAGCAACAAAAGACTAACCTAAATAACCAGTAATTTTAAGACCACCAAAGAAGACCCAATATTTGTATATTAGAAACCTACACTAAGGGTATTAGTAAGTGACTATTAGACTCTGCGCGGTAGTAACTTACTTGAGCAGTTCCAGCATCAACTTCCCCACCTTCCCAGACGAAGGTCTCGGGTAGTTAATACATTCCGTGGTAATGATCCTAGCCGGTGCGGACGGCTCCGTCTCATAAGCAGCCACCAGCTCGCGCTGACGTGTATCCTCAGCTGCCAGCCAGTCCAGCGTCAACGCGGACCGGTATGCTTGTATACCAGATAATGTCATCCGGGTGACATTGCCTGGAGCATAATAATAATCTTCCCCTTGAACCTGGACAAATTTAAACATAAGAATTTAGAAGCAGATAAATTGTCCCACAAAAAAATATTGCTTTAACGGCTGCCATACACGAACTGCTTGAAGCAATTGTCAATGCTTTGGCTAATGTGGCGATTGCAAACTAAGGTCCTCGTAATGCAAATGTTAACTTCTTATCGCCCAATTCTAACCTTAGGATGTCACTACCTAATTTGAAGCAGTATGGCGGCCCTTATCAGTTTTTAGTGTTCTCAGTGTTCCTGATAATATCTTACCGTGCGCCTGGATTTTCGATTAATTAATTTAACCGGATCTAGGCGTCTCGAATCATCGAAGACTAAATTCTTTCTGGTCACTGCCCATTTGTCTTGAGTCGACGCGTTATTTGCATTCTGTATATAAATAAAATGATCCTGGCAATTAAAACTAAAAGGTGTATTCTTTTTTACAAACATGTTATTTAGAAACAAAACCATTACATACAATGTAATTTTAATTGAAAATGGAATCGTTTAATGTTTATTGTACAACAAAGTAAAATAAATAAAAGATAAGCACAAAAGTGGAACGATATGGGCCGCTTGAAATTCGAATTATATTACGTTTATTAAAAACTTTTTCAATTCTATCAGACTCGTGAAAGAGAAGCGAGAACTCAAATGAGTTTTTGATATTATTTTATATTGAAATTGAAACGAAATAATGTTAATGAGACAAGATAAAACGCTTTAATGACCTTCACTGTTTTATAAGTATAGGTAGATATAAATTTGTAAGTCGGGCGATTGGTTACTTGTATTTGGAATGTTATTGAGCGTCGGTGGCACTTAAATTGCAATCTGCAGGTCGTGGGTGCGAATCCCGCCATGTACCAAGGTGTTTTTCTATTTCCGATTTACATATGTACATTTATCCGACGTTCTTACGTTGAAGGAAAACATCGTGATGCAACCTGCACATATTTAAGAAGTAAATCAAATATGTGTGAAGTCGACCAATCCGCACTTGGCGTGGTTGACTATGGCCTAATAACCCGTAATTTAGTTGGCTCCGAGCCCCTCGGTGGGGACGTATAGTGAGCTGATGACGATGATGATTTGGAATATTTTCTTCTTTAGTATATACTAAGATTTAAAGAGTTTCGTTTTAACATGCTTTGTATTGAAAACGTCCGTTGAAGACTTACTAGTAAGTTTATCTTTATAGACAAGACTTAATTTTATCTTAGAAAAAATATTCTAATAATGATTTTACTATCTTATCTTACTAATATTATAAATGCGAATGTTTAGATGGATGGATATTTGAAGGTATCTCCAGAACGGCTGCATATATCTCGGTTAATTTGACATTGATGTAGAATATAGTCTGGAAGAACACATGGACTACTAATTAAGTTAATTGTTAATTTCTTGCGCATGAAGTCGCGGGCGATAGCTATTTATTCTATAATTTATTGTAAACATATCTGGGTAAATTTAATAAAGTTTTTGAGGTTCCTTTAGATAAATTTCCACCATAAAAATGTTAAATGGCCAAACCCAAAACAAGGTGTAAGGATAAGACTTTATTTCAAGGAAATATTTCAAAACAACTTGTTTCCCTCCGTCTCGGCGCTCGAGTAATTTTCTTAAATTTAATTAAGCCCAAGTAAATTTGATATTAAGACATAAAACATTAATCTTATGAAAGTTTCACATTGTATTTTTAGAGGAAGTACACGAATACGAGTAATATAGTATTATTTTCTTTTATAACAGAAGGGGCAAACGAGCAGCGGGAACACCGACGTGTTCAACGACGCCTATGGACATCAGCTATACCAGAGGAACCGCAGATGCGTTGCCGGCCTTTGAGATAGTGATAAGCTCGCTACTTGAAGGACCCTAAGTCGTAGCGGTTTGGAAATACCGCCGAGGACAGGCCATTCCACAACGCTGCTGTGCGAGGCAGGAAGTTTCGCGCAAACCGTACGATTGTGGATTGCCAGCCATCGAGATGGTTTGGATGGAACCTGGCGGTCTGTCGTGTCGTCCGATGACAGAATATTTATATGGCTACCATTTTTATAGTACTTATCATAAATAGTAGAGAATGTGTCTGTTAATATAAAACTCATGTATTTGTAAGGAAAACTAGTGACCGCAACTCCGTCCGCGCGGAATAAAAAAAAAAGTAATTAGCATATGTGTTCTTCCAGACTATGTTCTATATGTATGCCAAATTTTATCGATATTCGTTAAGCCGTTCATGAGATACCTTATTATATACTTTCACATCTATATATAAAAGAAAGTCGTATTAGTTACACTATTTATAACTCAAGAACGGCTTTACCGATATGGTTGAAAATTGGTGAGGATGTAGCTTAGAGCCAAGTGACGGACATAGGATACTATTTTCTAATTTTTTTTCGAATTTATGCCTTGAAGAGCTGCTTTTTATTTAACTTACTAATATTATAAATGCGAATGTTTAGATGGATGTGATGTGGATGGATGGATAGGTGTTTGAAGATGTCTCTAGAACGGCTGACCGGATCTCGATAAAATTTGGTAACGTATAGAACATAGTCTGAAAGAACACATATGCTAATTATATTTTTTTTATTCCGCGCGGACGGAGTCGCGGGCGACAGCTAGTTTATGATATTAGTAATATTGTAGATACCTCTATTTACTTTTCTGTGATTGGATAAGGTTTCATCCAAAACTTATTATTGTCTATGTTAGAACACAATCGTTCATAACAAAGTGCTATGCCGAAAATTAACCGTTCTTCAACTTTCGACTACAAATTAAAATTCATTTTTTATTCTCCGCCTTTAAAAACGGAAGGATTTAAAATGTTTCGTGACTTAAAGGAATTTACAGTCTCCCGCAAAAAGTCCGCGCGCTGACAATTTTATGAGGCTGAAAACTAAACTGCCCCCGACTAAGGGTGAACTTTTTATATTTTACGACTTTTATTTTAAGTCGACTGCTTTTTGTAGATTCTTTTTTTAAATATTAATACTAAGGAACATTCATTAGACTTAAATTAAGATTGAAAGAAAAATATCAAAAATATTTATACATTTTGGAAATAACATTATAAATGAAAGCCTAAGTAATCTATATTAACAAATAATTAAACGTAGAATAAGCAAGAGATGTGTCGGACTACGCCAATGGTTCGTGGTCTCTGCCTATCCCTCTGATTAACGAGCATGAGTTATGTTTTTGTAACAACAGAGAATTAACTGTCAGTAGCAAAAATCTGTCAGTTCCAATAGGCTAAGCTAGGCAAAGGACGATATAACACATTGAATTTCTTCTAGAATACTAGGATTTTCTACTATTGATGGAAGGTAAGGCCAAATGTCATCATCATCAGCTCACTATACGTCCCCACCGAGGGGCTCGGAGCCTACCCTAAGTTAAGGGTGAATAGGCCATAGTCAACCACGCTGGCCAAGTGCGGGTTGATTGACTTCACACATATCTTTAAATTTCTTCTCAGATATGTGCATCACGATGTTTTCCTTCACCGTAAAAAGGCGGATAAATGTACATATGTAAATTGGAAATCGAAAAACACATTGGTACATTGCGGGATTCGAACCCAGGACCTGCAGATTGCAAGTCAAGTGCTTGACCACTGAGCCACCGATGCTCGTCTCCAAATATAATACTTGGAAAAGTAAAGAATAATCAGTTTATATCTCAACTAGCTGTCGCCCGCGACTCCGTCCGCGCGGAATATAAATAAAATACAGTAGCATATGTCTTCTAGACTATGTTCTATATGTATGCCAAATTCTGTATGTAAATGTATGCCGTTCTGGAGATACCTTCAAACAATCATCCATCTAAACATTCGCATTTATAATATTAGTAAGATCGATAGCTAATCGTAAAGTAGTAAATACATACCACCGCACATAACACGACGACTAAGAATATAAATAAAATCATTATAAAAAAAAAACTTAAAATTTAACAAATCCAAATAAATAGTTCTGACATTTTAGACAATGTGTCAAAACTTGAAAGAAAACCAAAGAGAATATGTTATCTTTATTTAGCAGATAAAGAGCCATGAAGCCATGAATTAAAATCAAAGAAATTCAATTGATGTTTTTTTATAAATAAAACTATCCTTATTCCTTAAAAAATTAAAAAAAAATTATAACCATATAAAAATTAAAAACGAGGCCATTCAAATCTTTATTAAAAACTAGCTGTCACCCGCCATTCCATCCACGAGAAATTAAAAAAAAACTTAATTAGTAGCTTATGTGTTCTTCCAGAGTATGTTCTACATACATGCCAAATTTTATCCAGATCCGTTAAGCCATTCCGATAATACCTTCTAAGATCCATCCATCCATCCAAACTTTCGCATTCATAATTAGGACTTGCGACTCCAAAATAAAGCATTTTTTTACACAATAAAAAAAACAATTCATAATAAAATATGATTTATTGATGTCATATAAAATCAACACTTATTCTAAAAAGGACCTTATTTTAATCACAATAAATACCAATTTATTTTGACATACATTTCTTATGAACACATTTCGTCAGCACCATTGAAAATATCGCAATTTTTTTTTAATTTTTTTAATCAAAAATAAACGCTAAAGTGAAAAAGATCATTTATGTACTATTACTTTGATACACTGTTTATTGTTTTTAATATTAATTTATTTTATATCCATACAAAAAATAGTATTTAAATTTAAAATATTCAAAAACGCATTCATCACGCTCTCAATATGTACAGTAACAAACACTTTTAAGAAAACTTAAGAAAAAAGTTTCTAAAACTATAATTATGTAAATATATTAAAAATCACACCTTTTATATACATACATAATAAAAAAGTAAACTTTAAGGTCAAGCTGCAGATTAAAATAATCCAATTTTTTTTATTATTATTTTCAATATATAATATACAAGAAAAAATTGTAGAATCATAAAAAAAACTAAATACATGATCTCAATTTTTAATAGAAAAAAAAACATTTTCCTTAACAAATGAAGGATTAGTTGTATTTCTTGTAAGAAGTTGCATGTTTAATTTCCACTGGCGCGAATGTTAATAAATCGCGTTAACCGCTTAGTGGAAATAGACATTAAATAAACATAAGCGTATAGATCAAGGTTATCTGAACCAGTGGGCATAAGTAAAAAGTTAAAAAGTATAAAAAATGATTGGTATACATATTTTCTAAGAAAGCTGTAGATTTTTGGAACAATAGACAAGTCAAACTAAATTAGCTCACTAGCGCCCCCATGTCAATGCCAAATGACATAAAATCCTCATTATATATGTACTTTATCTGTCTGTTTAACGTCATTTTCTATATCTGAGGGTTTCTGAATCCAAAATTTAAAACATATCATTTCTGTTATGTCAAAAATAATGAAAGGCATGACATTTTGGTCTCAGAAACCAACCGCGATAGTAGCGCCTCTCACCAGTTCAGTTTACTATATGAGGTACAAAATGTAATTCATAATTTACTAAAAAAAATCTCCATAATATGACTGAATTGTACTTAATATGTAAATGTATTACATGCCGTTGTATGCAGGTCCACCGCCTCCCTCCGGCACCACCCAGTTGATGTTTTGTGATGGATCCTTTATATCACATGTCTTACCTTTAAACATATAATTTATTCATTACTAGCTTTGCCCATGACTCTGTACATCATCAGCTTACTATACATCCCCACTGAGGGGCTCGGAGCCTACCCTAAGTTAGTGACTAGGCCATAGTCAACCACGCTGGCCAAGTGCGTTGACTTCATACATATCTTTGAATTTCTTCTCAGATATGTGCAGCATCAAGATGTTTTCCTTCACCGTAAGAACGTCTGATAAATGTACATATGTAAATTGGAAATCGAATACATTGGTATATGGCGGGATTCGAACCTAGGACCTGTAGATTACAAGTCAAGTGTTGAAACCCCTGAGCCACCGACTCTCCACTCTATACACGTGGAATCAAAAAACAAAACTAGTAGCCGATGTGTTCTTCCAGACTATGTTCTATGTATGTCAAATTTCATGGAGATCGTTTCAGCGGTTCTGTAGATATCTTTAAACAAACATCCATCCATCCATCTAAACATTCGTATTTATAATATTAGTAAGAAGTAAGAAGTAATACTTACAATGTATACAATTTTGAGCATTGATTTGTAGTCGCTGTCCCTCTCCAGTCTCCATTGGTACAAATTCATATACACCTGTATTCAAATTTGTAAATTAACATTTATAATCTCACTAGGGATTTTATAAACTGACGGACAAAGTAAACTAACACTATTTAATTTAATTCTAATGTTTTTTATAATACCTTTCAGCATATTTGTAAAATTAGTTTAATAAATAGATAAATTGAGTCTGATCATCTGATAGGTTTTTATGTACCTGCAGGACAGAATCTTCCTTCTGGACCATCGAAAACTGTGAGATTTGTTTTAACTGGAACAGAGTCATCTTTTAACGTCAAATGCGGCGGCTGGTCTGCTTCGTGATTGGTACCTTAAAAACAATAAAAAATATTTTGAAACTAACCCGACTTTGATCGACTTTTTTTAATTGCAAATTTAATTAAGTGAAATAAATCATGATATCAGTATTGAAAGTTTGAATAAACCCTAATCATGGGTTTCTGAGACCAAATTAATTCTTTAAAACGTATTGTTATATCTGTTTTGTCAATCATAATGACAGAGATGAAATTATTTTTTATACAAAGATTTCGGTTTCAAGAACCCACGGTAAATTTAACTGAAAAAGACGTCATTGGATTCGACTATCATGTTATTGTGCACGCATTGTATCATACAAAAAATTGATTATTAATGTTAGTTTACATACCAGTTAAAGCGACAGACGATAACAAATCAAATGTGACCACTCCGTCTGGTTTAGGATATTCAATTGGTTGACATTCTTTAGCTGGCTTTAATCTAGCGTGATCAGCACCTGAAATTAATATACATCATCATCATCAGCTCACTATAAGTCCCCACTGAGAGGCTCGGAGCCTAAACTAAGGTAGGGGTGACTAGGCCATAGTCAACCACCTGGCCCAGTGCGGTTTGACTTCACACATATTGAATTTCTTCTCAGATATATGCAGCATCAAGATGTCTTCCTTCGCCGTTAGAACGTCCGATAAATGTGTATGTAAATGAAAATGGGAAATCGAAAAACACATTGGTATATGGCGGGATTCGAACCGAGGACCTGGAGATTACAAGTCAAGTGCTTGACCCCTGAGCCATCGAAGCTCCAAATTAGTTACCATTAATTTCAACAATAATTTTTATGTAATAAGGTGGCAAATGATACGGCCACTATAATTCGCCCAAATAGCGAAACGACCACTGCTCCTAATGGACAAAGAAGGAGACGCACAGAAAGAGAATAATCCCCCTTACTATGAGTCCCCTCCTCCATCAAAATCTTCTGAGTAGTCGTGGTATTGCACTGGGCGAGCCAACTAATTAGTAAACCCAAGAAAATGTTATTCTTACTGGGCTTTTTTTATATTATATGAAGATAGAAACTAAGAAGATATTTGCCTCAAATTAATATTATAGGTATTTTTCTTAATAGTTAGGAAGTTTTTTTTAATGTACAGTCTTGTAACAGAATTTTAAGTTAAATAATAGCATACCTCCATGACTAAATGTCCAAGGTTCTTTACCACGGACTAACGTGGTGAATGCTGAGTAGCCGACGCCGCCGTATAAACCTAGCTTAGTGTGGAATGACGGACGACAGTTACGTACTTGCTGGAAATTAAAGTAAAAAATAATTTGAATATATATGAAAGAAATGGGAAAATTGCGTTTCTTTAATATCATTACTACGTGAAATCTTTTTAAAAGATAATAAAGATATTGTGCGAACTGATGAAGGTGAAAGACACAGTTATAGTCCACGTGAAATATTATTAGTAAAATTATAGAATTTTGATCTTTTATATAAGAAATTAAGGTCGATTTTCGACCAATGAACGACTTATAGTGTTTATAAATTATTTCATAGTTATAAACATATTTTAAACTTCTTTCCCGGACAAAATAGAAACTTCTGACTTAATAACTTTGGCAATAAATACATTTCTCTAATAATTTTCCTTTCTATGTATTAAAAACATATAAATTTACCTTCAATTCCTTATATACATATGATTCTTTCAGTTTGTCTTCATACAGCATTGGTACAATGCCTTTATCATGTGTAGCCTCGCCTGAGAGGATCAGATCCATTGCAGACTCAGCCGCCAGCATGCCTGTTACAACACAATTATATTAAGTACCAAAATAATATTAAAATAATGCTAACAAACATTATTTCTTAGATTTTGCAGCGAAATTTTAAAAATTAAAAAAAATTGACATCATTATGTAGTTATACATACATATATTGTGATTATTTCCACAAAATTACAATGTTCTTCTCCTTTTACTTAGTGTTCCGTACTACGGCACCACCGGCGGGGAAGCAGTGCGGGGGTCCCTTCCAGACCTCACCCGCCGCCCCGCGCGCCCTCACACCGCGACCTTCAGTTGCGCTTCAGCACTCCGCGCGCCGACACATCAATCATCTTTGTCTATTTTGTACAACTTTCATTCTTATTACAATCATCAGCAACCAACCAGCCTTTCATTACAACATACAGTCCACTCGCTCAACACTTAGACAAACTTAAAATTTTACAAAAATAAAGTTCCAATACAAAAAACAATTAATGACATTACAATTTATTCATGAACTCGCTAATAGATGGTTTCTGAGACCAAAAACCCCCGTATAAAACATATTGTTATCTCTGTTTTGTCAAAGATAATGCCAGGCATGATGATATATTTCATACAAGAATTTTGTTTTCAGAAACCAACATTAAGTCGGTTTGTTCAAAAGTCAGCGGGATCCAACAAATTTAAATACATATAAACAATACTGACCACTCTTCATAGCATTATGTGTGCCTTTAATCCTGGGCACGTTGAGATATCCCGCTGTGTCTCCTATGAGACAGCCACCCGGGAACACTGGCACGGGCAAACATTGCCAGCCTCCTTCTACCAGCGCACGTGCACCGTACGCGACACGCGTCCCACCTAGGTTTTAAAAACAAAATTAATAAAAAAAAATAACTGACTACAACATAACACTCTTTTTTAAAATCATATTCAAAATTAAGAAAAAAAAAACATTTAGAAAATTTAAATTAGTAACCTATGTTTTTCTCTCAGACTATGTTCTATATCTGTGCCAAATTTCAGCGAGATTCTTATAGCCATTCTTGAGACAACTTCTAACCAAGTTCCATATCCATCCATCCATATAAACTTTCACATTTATAATATTGAAATAGATATTTTACCTTCAAACATAGGCTTCACATATGGATGCAATTTGAATCTTTGGAATTCTCTAAACGGACTGAGGTATGGATTGACATAGTCCAGACCCACAACAAAGCCCACGGCTACCAGAGGGGCTTCACCTTCAGGTACATTAAGATGGTACATAAAGGAACCCCCGTATGTATTCTTGTCTAAAGGCCAGCCTATTGTATGTTCTACTAAACCGGGCTTGTGATTCTGAAAAATAATAATATGAATTCAATGACATGTTTGAAGTCAACCAACCCGCACTGGGCCAGCGTGGTTGATTATGGCCTTGTCACAACTTAAGGTAGGTAGGTAAGGTAAGTAAATAGAATTAGCAGTTGTGATATCATGAAAAAATCATATTTAATACAGATAATGTATTTTTTTTAGTTTTGTCTGCATGTATATCTTTCCACAAAGCCGAGTTTGTTCCGTGCAATCTCCGGAAATGGTGGACTGGTGTTGACGGAACCTTGACGGGACGGTATTTGATGCACATGCGCATATTACATGCTAATTTTTTTCTAATAATAATAAGAATAGTGAAGTTAAAATAGTGAACATTCTTACCTCTGGTTTAACTTCCCACAGTTCCTTAAGTCCAATGCCGTAAGACTGAGGTTCACTTTTGTCTCTTAAATTGAACTTATTGGAAAGCATCTTTGTTAGATGTCCATGACATCCTGAAAAAGAAAAAATGAATTAATTTTCCTAATTTTTAAGTATTAAGGGGATGATGATTGAGGCCTAGATTTATTTATTTATTTAGATAAACTAACCTTCAGCAAATATAGTTATTTTTGAATGAAACTCCATGCCCCTTTCAAACATATCTTTGGGGCTTCCATCTTTAGCTATACCCACGTCACCCGTAGCTACTCCTTTCAGGGAACCGTCATCTCGGTATATGAGGTCTGCGCCTGCGCAACCTGGCCATACCTTGAAAATAATCATAATGTTCAAATACACAGTGTTTCCATATAATTTTTTAATAGAAAAGACGAAGAAACAAAGTTATTTTTTCTATTTTATTTAAAGCTGGCAATGTATTAATTTGTTGACATATCTATTTACTTATAAATCTATGATTTTCTCTATTTGTCAATGTTTATGATAATTTATAGATATAATCATTAAATTAAAAAAGCAATACCTCAGCTCCTAATGCCTCTGCTTGTTCCGAGAGCCATCGCACCAGATGTCCCAATCTTACTACATAGTTGCCATGATTGTAATTAGGTAAGCCTGGAACACAAATTTATTTGTATGTATTCTTTGTGATACAGAAGTTAGAGGATAATAATATATGTTTCTTATAAAGTAGTTTAGATAATATAAGTGCAAAGTACAATAGATAAAAGAAAAAAAAAACCACAAACTAAATAAATGACAATTATACACAACATTGTTTAAGCTAAATAATTAATTTTCATTTAAAAATCTTTCATCTCACTAATATTACAAATTCGAAAGTTTAAATGGATGTTTCTTTGAAGGTATCACCGGAACGGCTGTACATATTTTGATGAAATTTGGCACACATGTAGAACATAGTCTGGAAGAACACATAGGGTACTAATTATGTTTTTTTCTAATTCTGTGATGAGAGTCGCGGACGACAGCTAGTTTTTACATGAACTATTAAATGGAACTACATTTGTTAATATTAAAAAGATAAATCAAATACATACCTGGAAACACGGGTAATGGAATCCTACCACTCTTTGTAAGTAAACCAAATTTATCAGAAGTAACAGGCGTGTTAAGAGGTGCACCCTTCTCCTTCCAATCAGGGATAAGTTCATTTAGTGCTATTGGGTCTACGCAAGCTCCAGACAATATATGACCACCAATTTCAGCCGCTTTTTCTAATAAGGTAACCCTTACTTCCTGCAATATTTCAAATCTATATATTAATAACTGAAAACTAAGAAAACACTTTTAATATATTTCTTTCAAGCCTTTTCAGTTGTCCAATGAACACACTACAAAAGTTACTAAAACATTCTGGCCGGTGCCTTAGAAACATGTAAGCGGTAAATAAAAAAAATGCTATTAATTACAAATTGATTGACTGTTTTTTATCTTATACTGTAACATTATTACTTACAGCCCCCTTTTCTTCTGCTATTTGTCTTGCTCTGATAGCAGCGGCCATTCCTGCTGGTCCTCCACCAATGATAAGGATATCTGTCTCTTCTGCCACTCGCTCCATATTTATTTCTATGTGAATACATAAAGAAAATCTTACTAACTTTTACTTTTCAGCTAATTGATTCTAACCTTTTAGAAAAAAAAGCTTTTTCTATGATGTTCTAGTTGTTAAACTATTAGGATAATCGAATACTACTGTAAGGTTAACAACATCTGATATAATACATTTATTTATTTGATTGACCTTGACTCTAAAAAGAAATGTTAACTCTTATCAGAGCCATATTTAAAATACGAAAAAAAGTCGAATGGCAAATGTTTAAACAATTTAACTCAAACAAAAAGATAGGGCACAGTGACGTTGATTAATTTAAACATGTTCGTAAAGTAAAATAATGTTATCTAAAATTTTAAAGAATTTATCACGCACCTTTCCATCTTGGGTCTTTATCACGAGGATGTACAGTATAATGGGTGGTTATTTTTGGATAAACATCTGAATATAACCTCCTGGCTGCATTTGTTAGCCTCCCCACTAAAAAATAAAAAGAATTTGTTTAAAAGATTATTGAAAAACAAAAACCAAAACATTAGACCAATCAATGAACTTTGAACTTTGATATTTGTTATGACATTGCATAAGTGTTCTAATTAATGTAATGGTCCACAAAGTCCTTGCTAATAACAAATATTAAAATAATTTCAAACTATAAACTACAAAATAAAAACAAAGTTTAAAGTTTTTCTCGAAACAGCTGACGATAATAACTTAGTTTTAAAGTTAAATTGAACTTTAATTTACGTTAGTTGGTTAACAAAGTCTTGTGAGAATTACGTTATCACACATGATTATTAACTTTTTAAGTAAGAAATACATATTAAAATATTTTATTTACCCTTGCGAGCCGAACTAACAATCGCTGTCGCCATCTTTACAACAACATTCGTTCCGTTCCGGAATGCAATTCGCTGACTTGTCGACTGATTTTGACTGCGAACGTGTCCTTCTCTTTCCCACTGTCAAAACTAAAAGCAAGGTTTTCAATTTTTTTTATCAAGAAAACAATATTACCACCTACAGTTAAAATATAACAGTTTTATAACTTTATTTGTAAAACTATCTATACCTAATTAAAAAAAAAAACTATTCACTGAAAATATGTTCACATAAAGGACAACATATTTTTCGTGAAATGAAACGTTTATTATCAAGGTGTTCTGTTCTCATTAATGGCGGGGAATTTAAACATAAAAGTTATGTTTTACCCTCGAGTTCAATCTTAATTGTTGAATTTTGACAAGAAACTATTAAATTATTTTTTACACAAATTGAGCTGGTAAGTATTACCTCATATTTTTTTTCAGGCACGATCAATTTCGCTTAATGTTAGCGGCCATTTTTAATGGTAAACAGCAAGCAAGCAAGCAAGTATAAAGGTCTAAGAAATGTTAAACTTAATCATAACTATGATTTTCTTTTTTCAATATCTGTCATTTATTTTGCATCAATAATCTGCTAGTAAATTTAACGAATTCAGTGCAGACATTAATAAGCAGGGAAAATTAAAACAAGTAATAAATTAGAACTCGAGTTTATTAGAGAAGCTTAATAATAATATGTGCGTAGTTGTAGTAAGTGTTGATTTATTTGACGGGCTTCATCTGCCACAGGCCATCATTCAGGTAATGGAAATTCTCGATTCCAACGCCTTTGTTCACTTTGGCTCTGAAATCATAGAACGAAACCTAAAAAATTGTACAAATAATAAAAAAAAGAATTTAAAAAATGCACTATTGAGTAAAGACATACAGAGAATTTGGACAGAAGAACTTAGTTCTGCTTTTATATTATTAGTTTTTTTTTCTTATTGTTTGTATTGGCATTAAACGATTTCTATATGGAAGACGACGAAGGTATGGATGAATGCTTTAAGTCTTACATATCATTTGTAGACAATGAGGTCATCCCAACAGCCAGCGCATGCTGCTTCCCCTCAGCCATCACTGCCACCACCTGTCCCTTGTCGACGGAGGACATGCGGGCTCCTGGTGACGTCAGACCGGGACACATAATATTGGCACCACTGAGCACAAAGCGGATCGCACCCTTGTCAACCTGCTGCATCGGCAGGAAGAATGGATCTGGAAATAAGGTATTTTTTTTTTAATTTCATCAAGTAAAGAAAAATATGAATTTTACATAATTATAAAATTCTAACTGTCGCTCCGTGACTCCGTCCGCAAGGAATAAATAAAAACTTAATAAATAGCCTATACCAAATTTCAGAGAGATCCATCCATCCAAACATTCGCATTTATAATAGTAGTAGTAAGATTGTTGCTTTAGGGAAAGTAGGTTCGTCTTAAGAACCATATTCACAAAAGATGGTTTTAATGCTTGTTTTTTTGTTTTCATCATTTAGAAATAATTCCATTGAGTATCTTATATTTTCTTACATTTGTGCAACAGTCTCAAGGTAGGCATCCATGGTCCCTCTCGGTGGCGGAAGAACAGCAGCTCGCCTGCACTGTTCACCATTATCTCGATATGATCATGGCTGGAATATAAAAAAAATACACCTTTGACTTTGACATTAAATATTGACCATTGATTGCCGATAACTGTATTTGCGCAATTTGAAACGTTCCACAATAAAATTACATAAGTAAATTATTGTAGAGATGCGATACAAATTGCTAATATTTCTGACAATGTTTGTCACTTTGGTTCTAACTCCTAAAGCAATTTCGTAGAATGATTCCATTGCCCTGTTTATTGCCCTTTGCGTGACCTTGCGCAATATAATGGTGCTCGTATTGCGGGGTCATGTCCGAATACACCGTCACGATATCCGACAGAAACAATGTAAGCAATATTTTGAATGTTCTGTTGGTAAGAAACGAGACATTTAAACCATTCTTACTATTATACGATTTAGCTGTTTGAGCGCCCGAACAATCCCCTGTCTTACTGTTAAGAAGAAAATCCGACACTGTGCCGGTGTATTGGCGCAACACTAGCCTTGCTAAAATGTCGACGTTTATGTCCCCTCACTAATCATTCTGACACATGACTGTAATGAAAGCGCGCCATTCGCGCCAAAGGATTCTAATGAATTCAGATTTATGGAAAATAAGTATTATGTCAACCATGTATTTAAAAGAGCAGGGAGATAATCATAAGTACCATTTAACAATCCTAAATGTGTCCTTCTTGGGCAGCACTTGGTCGATGTGGTTCTCGAGATGTGGGTATAGCTCGAGTAGCCTCGCACGGATGCCTTTCTGCACCGAGGACTTGAGCTGCTGCACCCCCGATATGCTCTCCTTCTCGTCAAATCTGAAACAGGCAGATACAATTTTAAATACACTAAAAAACGTAAAACAGATCGAAGGAAAGTATAAGCCGAAGAAAAATCTTTATCCACCTCCATAATAATACTAGTCTTTAAAGGCTCAATGTGTTCATTATCCGGGACAAGGAGTTTTTCTTACTAATATTATAAAAACGAATGGATAGAAGGAGGTTTGTTTGACAGTATCTCCAGAAGGGCTGCATGTATCCGGCTGAAATTTGGCATACAAAAGAAAATAATCTTCAAGAAAACGTAGGCTACTAATTATGTTATTTTTTATTTCTGCGCGGATGGAATCACGGGCGATAGCTAGTACTAACATAAATAAAATTACTAGACGCAATTAATTTGACAAGATTTCCAAGGGTTTCCATTGTAAACGATATGAAATAACGAAGCCTTTGTTCATTCTAATGACGCATGTCCTACGCATTTATATTGAGTAATCCATATAACGTTTGTAGCATACATTAACTGAAGAGAGAAAATTTTAAAGGCTTCTTGGAATGTATTCCATCCATTGAAGTTGTATTGAGCCGTTCAGAGTGATTAAAACGTGTTAGGTATACTGAAGCAAACGCTGTGTGGGCGGTCGCTTGGGACATCTAACAAGGGAGACCACACATCAGACATGTACATGACAAATTTTGCCGCGTATTTCTTAAGAATACATATCATAAATGCGAACGTTTGTACATAAGTATGAGATAGATAACACTATGGAATAACATAAAGTTTTTTTTATATGTAGCATTAGGTAGCAAACTAGCTAACGGCCACCTTCGCCCAAATCGCCCAAATGGCCAAGCGGCCGCTGCCCATATACATCCACAATAGCAGACTCTTTGCCGACTATTAATCGACGGATGAAGAGACGCAAAAAAAGAGAATATTACCCCTAGCTATGCCTCCCACCTCCATCAAATCCACTTCCCCATCCCATCATTTCCTTATAAGAAAAGGGTGGGAAGGAATAAGCACTAAGATTAGACCTCCAGATCGCACACTCATCAGACGAAACGCGGAATTACTTCCACTGCAAGTCTGTAGTCTGTGTGATCGTGGCACCGGACGAGTCGACCAATACGTGCAATACATGTTACTTGCGTCCTCCACTGTTAAAAGGTAATTTTTAGGACGTATCCATCAAAACATTTTAAAACATGGCCACTGTACTTATTGCTAGAAAGTGCGTTTGAATTTGTCGCATTGCAACCAGCTCACGTGCATGCAATGGCTTCAGAGAGCGGCCTTGTTAGACACGTGACAGTGGTATTACAATGGTATAGTATTAGGTCAAGGTAAATTATGACGTAATTCACATATCATTATGGTTATTAACATGTTTTGCCAGATGTTATGGTGTTAATATTTATACTCAGTCAAGTTTCTACATATACGTCTTCTTGTGTTGTTTATGGGCCGCAGTTACATAGTTGCGTATTACTAGATTGCTTATACTATAATAAAGACTTTATAATCATACATCTTACTATTTACTAATAATATTATAAACGCGATTGAATGTATGGATGTTTGGCATAGATGTATAATATAGCCTGGAAGAAAACATAGGCTACTGATTATGTTTATTTTGATATACGCGCGGACGGCAGCTAATTTTATATTATTTTTTAACTGCATTTCTTTATTACTTACCTTAATGTAACATAGACTATAAAAGAATAGAACAAATAACGATAAAGTAAGGTGGAATAACCTTAATCGCTAGTGGAAACAGATTTATTCCAGTTGCGCTTATCACAGTCGGAATGTGATTCAGTCACGAATCTTTTGAACTTATTGCTTTCCTAATACCCAAACATTTAGCCATCCCACTCACACTCTTTGAAAAAAACGGAGACAACAATACGTGTCACTTGAACTATCGAAACTGCCAAATCTGTAAAAATCGACGTATTTTCATATTCAATATAAACACATTTTTAATTTCTTCACTATTATTTGTTATAGTGTTCTTAATAAACTACATTAAATAATTAAAGTAAATTACAGTAAAACAATTTTATTACTTTCTTGTTCATTAAAATAATCAAATATAATTAAAAAGGACAAACTATTCGTCAATAACACCATCATAATATTGCATTATCACGCGATTTATACATGAATGCAAGACTTCAACTCAATCAGTTACAGGGAAGTGGATTAAATTTGCAAGATTTGATGATAAACATCGGGACAAGTAAAACTAAATAAAAGCATGTAATAATCTATATATATAAAATAAAGTCGTGTTAGTTAGTTAGGAAAATTGGTGATGAGGTAGCTTAGAGCCAGAAGACGGACATAGGATACTATTTATTCATTTTTTTCGAATTTATGACTTGAAGAGCCGTTTTTTACTTGACTTACTAATATTATAAATGCGAATGTTTAGGTGGATGGAAGGATGGGTGGGCTACACTAATTAAGTTTTTTATATATCGACGCGGACGGAGTCGCGGTCGACTGCTAGTACATTTTTAAAAAGACCATTTAAATAACCTCAACTTTTAAACATCCGTCAATATCGTGACTTGACAAAGATGTTGTAAGAAACAGGACCTGTATTTCGACACACACTAGCAACTACGTGCATCAAAATGTAAAAGTTGTTTTACAACTTTCTTAAGCCCAAA